CAAGCTGTCTGTATCTGTGCCCAGCGCTCTACTCAAGGGAAAACAGGGCTTGAAAGCGCTGTAGTAGTACCTCATGAGCATGCCGAGCTAACTCGAGCGTTCGCCATCCAATCTGAATGGGGCTGTTCAGGAGCTTGGGCTTACGACCTATGGTGTGCACGTAGCCAAGAAAAGTGCCGTCTGAGACAAAAAAGTCGTAGTCCATTGGCTTGCGCCTTCTGGAAAGCATTTCCTGAACAGTCTTGCCATATATGGAGTTCATGACCAGCTTCAGTGTCTGCTCTCCGTCAGCATCAGAACACTCCGTTTCTCGTAGATCTTCTCCATGAAAGGCTGCAAGATAGGACTGCACATGAAGGTGATAGCCTCGTGCAATCTCCACACTCGTGCGCCCAGCACATCGCGCATGAAGCGTAAGCGCTCTGAGTCGACAGCTTCCCGTTCATGCATCCCCAGGTACGGCACCAACTTGCGGGTCTTTGGCAACCGCTCCGGAGCTAACCTCTTGTTGTAGGGTCCAAGATCTTCCCGGCACACTCTCATGCGGCAAGGTGGAGCGAAGTCCAGACCATCATGAAGATCTTCAGGGAAATCAAAATCCAACACCAGTAAAGTGCAGCTTTGAGGATCTGAGCCCTTATCCAAAAGGTTGTGGAGCCAAACCAATCTGCTGCTGGGTTCCTCGGGCAAGGTCACAGGTACAGCTCTTCCCGTTGGCATAGGCTCACACATACAGGCAGGATACATGCTGTTCACGTCGAAGTAGAACAAGTACGAAGGCCACTTGGAAGGCTGGAAGGTAGGGATCTCCTTGTCCCTGCACAGAGCAGCTTGAAACTGGCTTGCGCCGTGATCATGGTGCCGGACCTTGTTGTCCTTGGGGATTAAGGCTACTCCACATTCCCTGCATTGATCCTGCGCATGGTACTCCCGCCAGTCTTTCGAGGTCATTCTCCAAGGTTTGTTGGAAACCTTCCACCGCCACCGGAGATAATTCTTGGCTAGACAGAACTGTTTGTCGAGGAATCGCTCAAGCACGCTCCTGTCATCTGAGCCTTCGCAATGCTCGATTCCGCCTTGCAGTTCTGCAGGGGGAACGTAGCCACCCCCAAACTTCACAGCGAAACCAGCCGAAGCAACCCAGTTCTGAACCGCCTTCACACTGTGTGTGAGGATTTGGAGTGGTGAAGACCTCGAGATCCGCTGCAACAAAGACTGGGTGTAGCTCGGCAGAACTCCCAGGCTTGTACAGAGGGGTTGCACCGCAGCGAGAGCCTTGCTGGCTGATGACAAGGCCTGTTCGGTCTTGGTGCGAGCTAGCCTCATACCTGGCAAAGCCTCGCTGATCTTCAAGCCGGCGATCTCAACGTCCAAAGCACGAATCTCTGTGTCCAGCTCAGTCTTCTTCTCCAGGCTTTTGGCGTTGCGCCACCGCCTCTGCAGCTTTCGCCGCACGTCCTTCTTCTCCTCCGTGGTCATCTCTTTAGCAGCTCGCTTCTTCAAAGAAGACTTCTTCGCTTGCTCAGGGAGCTTGGGCGAGCCCGCATCATGCTTCACCTCAACGACCGCGGCACTCTTGTTCTCGATCCGCTTCAGGCGCGGACGAGCTTGGTCCTTGGAGTCATACTCAGGATCGGAGAGCACCTCGCTAAGGTAGGTGTGGAAGCGCTCGCAATCCTCTCTGCACAGGGGCTTTCGATCAAATCTGCTCTTTTTCAAACCGGCTTCGATCTCGTCCAGAAAAGCGTTCTGATCCACTGCGCTCGCTGCGGACTCAGGTCCTGCAGCTACCTGGAGCAAAGCATGCAGCACTGGGCGCGTCTTGGCGATCTCCCCCTGCTTCAGCAGCAAAGCATCGCGGGCTTTGCTGTCAGTATTCTTATCGTTCCGGATCTGGTCGAGGGCGTTCGAGGCGTCTCGTCGTTGCGCTCGCTAGCTTCCTGTAAGACCTTGTCCACGAGATCAACCAAGGCGTCTGTTCGTCCAACCTCTTGCTCAAGTTGTAATACCGTTGCTGAAGCTGATGCAAAACTTTGGGGAACCGTTGGCTCCGGACAGTCTCCCAAAAGTCTTTGCTCTTAAGCTGGTCCAAGGTGAACTCCTTGAGAAAGTCGGTAAACGGCTCGTTCGGCAGGCTCTGTACGTCGAACAGCTCCGACCGCATGTCCTTGAGCAGTCTGCCAAGAGTCTCTCGAGACAGTTCGACATGCGCTCGGGTCTTTATCACATCTTCCTTCACCGTGCCGCGCGGCAAGGCCTCAGCCATTGACAGCGCCGTCAACACCTCCACCAGCTTCTGAGCGCGATCCGACATGCTGCTCCGGTCAGTCTTTATCACGCTAGGCAGATCTTTTCTCCAAAACGCTATCGGAAATTCATCATGTCTGACCAACTGCATGCATCGTCACATGTCACTGATGGTTCAACCCTCCTGCCAGACGACACTACCCAAAGCAGAAAGGCTTCGGATCTGAGAGCTCGACTTGAATTTGCTGTGATTGACGGCAACTTCTCCATTCCTGCAAAGTCAAGTTGAGACATTGTAAGGTGTGAGGATAAAATGGATTTGTGTTGTTGATACGTAAAGCTCTCCTTCTGTCTCCGCGAAGCTTCATCTTCTCTGCCCCTGCACCATTCCTGCAGAATCAAGCTGAGACATGGAAATGTGTGAGGTGAGTTTGTGTCACGCGCGAAGCTCTCCCTCTGACTGAATAGATTGATCTTGGACGCTGCGATGGACAGTTCATCTTCCGCTTTGTTTTCCTGATTTCATGGGTTGCAAAAAGCTGTGAAACTGGACACTCAAATCTGCAAAACTGCTCAAAATGGAAAAGCACAAGGCTAGCGAGGCTCACAAGTTCTAAGTTCAGGGCTTTCTTGCGAACCTCCCCAGCGAAGCGTGAGCAACATTTCCAAAGGAAAAACAAAGCTGAGGTCGCCGCGTTTGTCACACCTGAATCGTCTTGCCGCCCTCGTACCTCGCAAGTAATCCGATTCACATCCGTAATCAAGTCACGCGGTAGACAAACGATCTGAGGTTGCAGCGTTTGTCAAAAGCACCTTTTGATCTGAAACGCGTTGTCAACGACTCAGCTTCAGTCTCTCGCATTGCTGAGTGCACGGCAAGGCTAGACACACAGCATAGCGAAATACACGCCATCGCTTGCCCGGCACATCTTTGCTACTCCGCTACTGTCACTGAATCATGACATCATGCCATGTCATGCTGTGTGGGATGTCAAAACGTGCTTAATGTTAGGAATCTATTCGTGCTCCCTTGTAGGAGAAGAGCATAAGAAATCCAGCCATCTGTCTCAACTGTCTCAACCTTCGGCTAGCTGCGGTCAGCCTAAAAGAAGTTGAAGGGATCGCTCCGAAAAAAAAACGGAGCAAAAAACGAGGTTGGGCGAATCACTGAAAATCTAGGTTCATCTTCCTGCTGTTGGAAACGGCCTTTTGCAGAAAACTGCATAAGATAGGAAATGTAATTTGGTGGGATTTGCCCTGCTCAAGGAAAATAACCCTGAAATGATCCCTCAAATGAGTTCATGATCATATGTTCCGCTCGGAAATTTGGTTTGGAATCCTTGTTATTTTCGTTGCGACGGCCAAAAATGGATCGAGTAAAAACAATGGGCAGACCAGTACTAAGCCAAAAATGCCGGGCCCTTTGGAGACTAGTACTCAAAACAATCCGAAACCCCTCCAGACCCGTTGGAACACGACCGAAACTGACGGAACACGACCGGAAACTGACGGAACACGACCAACTTTTTGTCACCCGCACGCCTTGAGGCAATTGCCATCGGTCGCGAAACCTGCTAAAATACACAAAGGAGGAGAGGTGAAACAGAAGGTGAGACGTCACTTGAAAAAGCCGGCGAAATAGGACAGGCCACAGAGGAGCCAAACAGACGAACAGAGCCAAACCAAAAACAGCCAAAAAGGACAGCGAACAAACAAACCGAGAGCAAAAAGTGATTTCGCCAGCACGCGGAAGTGCATGTTGAAATAAATTACGGGCGGAAAGGAAGGCACCAAATGCACTGGCTACGCGCGAAGAGAACCATGAGGCTGAGCGGGGCACAGACCATACGGTTCACTCGCGGAGCGCACTACACTCTGCCGGGGGCACATTTGCGCATCGTTAACCCCCGTACATGGCCATGCAGAGGAGCATATGCAAAGGGACTACACAGAAGGCCGCACACACTAGCCAAGGGACGTGCATGAGTTAAGGCAAAAATGCCACCGAGGCGACAAGCAAAAGGCATGCATGAATTAGCCGGCTCACAGGCATCACCTGTAGCCGCAGGGACAACTTCGCGGCATTGCGAGCCAGCGAGGCAGCCCAGCAGCGACACAGGAGTGCTCACACATTGGTCAACAAGTGGGCCAACCATGGGCTGAGCGGGGCTCAAGACCACATGGTCCACATGCTACACTGCAGGGAGCAATGTAGCCGGTCGGTGGAATGTCTGAGTGCTGGCACATCCGCCAGGGAGGAGTGGTGGCCCCTCCCTGAAGATGTGCCCTACTCCCAAAAAGACGCTCTGTGTGCAGTAGACCAATGTCTGGATCAGGCATGACACGCAAAGGCGAGCAAGGCAGCAGCTACCGGACGATGAGCCCGGTGTAGGGCTACATGGCCGGCCTGCCAGGCACATTTTCCAAGTGCCTGAGTGATGCACGGACCAGGCCACAAGATTATTGTGGGGGCACTGGCCGTTGGCCTTAGCCAGGGTTGGAGCGCAGGGCAATGGACAGAGGACAACCGTGAGACCAAGCGGGGCTCGGTACGACACGGTATTCCTTCCCAGCAGTCATGTCCTTGACAAAGGGGTCATTAAGGGTTGACTCCCCACCACAATGTTCCAAGAGCCCAGACATTGCAAGGGCCTGGCGCGGTATAGGTTTTGGCACAGCGACCAACTGGTTAGGGTTTGGGGCGCAAGGCAATTGGCAGGAGAGAGACCGCGACACCGAGCGGGGCACGGGACTACACGGACCTTCCGCCCCAGCAATCAATTTTCCGGCACAAATGCCCATCGAGGAGTTGCTGTTTCGGGGGTAATAGTAGGCTGTAGTCCTGCTACAGCTTTAGACTGTCTGGCCATCTGGCGGTGTCAGCACGTGGTTCCAAGAACCCAGACCTTGCGGCCTGGCGCGGCGCAGGTCCTATCGCAAAGACATTGGCGAGCTGCCGAATGGGCAGGGTTTGGAGCGCAAGGCAATTGGCAGGAGAGAGACCGCGAGACCGAGCTGGGCACGGCACTAGACGGCACTTCTGCCCCAGCATCAAGTTTCCAGCACAGGTGCACTAATGGGAATGTAATGTAGGGAGCAAGGTATCCTTTTCATGGGCCACCCAGGTTCACACGTCCGCTAAGGCAAGGGCAGTGCGGTTAGGGTTTGGGGTTGGTCAATTTCTGCATCGTCTTGATGGCCCCGCCAACAGGGCAGCCCGCCCGCCCAGGACGGAATGTGGTCGCATAGCCCAGCTGCAGGGCTTCCTCCTCCGTGGCGGGCAAACATTCCTGATATTCGTCTGCGCTAGAGACGCTAACCGCATCCACCGCCTGCAAGTGGGGAGCACGATCGACAGGTTCCGGGGTGGAGCCCTCCGTCTCAGAGCCCGTGTCAATCTGGCCAAGACCGGCTTGACGGCTTGACGCAGAGCAGCAAGGGCTTCCGCCACCTCATCAGGGGCAAGATCGCTCTCATCCATGGGTGCAGACGACACCACCCCCCTTGGGGTCTCGGGGGGAGCCACCAGCGGGGGGTCTAAGACCCTCAGTCACATTGGACGTTCCTGGTACGCAAGAGCTTTCTGCAGGTCAGCGGGCAAGTGGCAAGGCTTCTAGCTGTCACTTGGACTCAGTGTCAGATGGCACTTTAATTGGGTCTTGTCCCAGTTAGGCAGCGTCTTTGTGACCAAGTCGTAACGTCTTGTGCGGTGAAAGCATCATACACAGAAATGCGCAGGATCCATCTGCAGGCTCGCAGCCGTAGCCCCGGTAGTAAGAAGAGTTTCCTCACCGGCGACGAAAAGCTGGATGCCCAGTTAAAGGCACTTGACTAGGTCCAATGCCACTAGCCGCTAGTGCTAATGGAAAGGGATGTGAATGATCGCACCGCCAGCAAATGCCCTGCTGGGTCTTGCCACCAACCTTTGTTGCAGCGCAGCTTGCTAGCCGCGACGCCAGCATTACGGCGCTCCAGGGGCCAAGGCCAACGCAACGCTGCTGCCTTGTACGCCACGAACGCCGCGCTCTTGACCAGCAAGACCACGCTCCAGAGCGCCCTGGTGCAATGAATGGCAGTGGCATTCGCCAAGCTTCCTCAAGGCGGAAGCTTGGCAGCTGACGGCACCATTGGGGCGTAGCAATTTGGAGAAAAGCGGAGTTCCAGCTAAGGCAGATGTCTATTGCTGCTGTTCATTGTACCTCGTGAGGCCAGCGAATTGCGGGTTAAGATCAAGTTCTCTCCGACTGAGGACTTTGCCTCTTGGCCTTTCTGCAAAGGTCATTTACACGATGAATCCTTCCGTGGCAGGGGTTTTGATGACGGAACACACCGAACAAACCGTGAAACGCGAAAAATCAAAGCCTGCACTGCAACTTGCTTTCGATCTGCAGCGCGCGACCCCGTTTTAAGACGGTCCTAAGAAAACGCACGGAATTTTGGCAACCTAACAACGCAAAGTGGAAAACGACAACCCGAAAATAAACTGACGACCCAGGGGGCTTAGATCTTAAGACCCCCGTAACCACTCTCTAGCCGGCCCTGCAAGCGTTCCGCCCCACGCCTCAAGCTTATTAACGCGCGCCTCCGCCAGCACCGCTCGCTTGCAAAAATCTTTGTTCTCTTTCTTGAGAAACTTAATGCGGCGGTTCAGCCGCCAGACGCTTCTTACAGCGCTTGTTTTGCGCGCGTCTCGCAAGAAAAGCGCAGACCTTGTTGTAAATAGGGCAAGAGGGACTTCTTGTTTACGGCGATGGCTGCTGCCTTTCTCCAGCACCTGTGCTTAAAATGCCAAACGTTGGTCACCGCCTTCTTGGACGCTAATCTTTGCGCTCTTCTTGCGTGGGCTGGACCGTGAGGATGCTGCACATCTTGGAGCGCAGGCCAACGTGCAGCTTGAAGAAGAGTTTATCTTTTCAAGAGCCTTCTTATTTACTAGGTCCACAAAAGCTTGGCGCGGCTCCAACTTGGGTGGGCACGCTCATGCAGCTGCAACGTTCCACAAGGCCAGAAACCCCTTCAAGTTGTTAATTTGAAGCTTAAAGTTTGTTACGTACTTGCAATACGCTT